TTTAGAAAAGTGTAAAGTCGTTTTGCTATATACAAGTTTTTTGTTTGAATTTTATGTTTTCTTATAACATATCTTTATTGCCACTGAAGAAAATTTAACTAATAAATTGAAACGTCTGGCTATTTTTTTATAAAAAATTTACGAATAAAAAGCAATTTAATCATTTTTATTAAAATATTTTTAAATATTAGTTCTATATTCGTATTCCCATATTCAGAAATTTCTTTCATTTCTTTCACTCTCTAGAACTTTATATATAAACACATGTATATATCGGTAGAATTTATATTTTTGACTCGAACGTTACATTATAGTCTTGTCATCTATTGTTTTCTTGAAAATGAAAATTGTATTTTCGAAACGTCGAATTTTAATAAAAAATTGAATAATGGAATTAAAAATAGCTGCTGTTATTATCTCTACAGTTTCAATATTCTTTTGAATCGGATGGCACGTTAAGAGTGAGTGTGGGCAAATTCTGTCAAGTACAGGCTTGTTTTTTTGGGGTGCTTCAGATGGATCATCAAATGTAGTCGTTTCCATATCTGTTTTAGTTGCAAACAAATACTGATGAGGTTAAAGCAGAAACTGGCGAACAATTTCCAACTGAAGTAGTAAGTATAAACTCGTGATTCGGTTCCACTCAATTACATGAAAAATAAAGAAAACACAGCAAATTCAGGCAAAGCATCATATGGAACAGACGGACGATCGCTACATATTGAGTTAAGCTGCTGGTCAAGTTGTCAAATTACCAGATGAAATCCTGTCAAATCCTATAGGATACCTTTCAGTCCTATTGTAGGATCTGATAGGATCCGATTGCGGGATCTGATAAGATCCGATTGTACGAATCCTACATGGTTTCCACCACTAAGATTGCCTACGTATTTCCTATAAGATCCTATCAGATTTTCATCGGATCATATCCGATCCTACAAGATCCTATAATAGGATCCTATAAGATCTTTTAGGATCCAACTAAGATCCTATCGTAGGATTCATTGATCTGGGTGGATCTCGTTCACATCAGGTGCGTTCTACAATAGATTATTCAGGTTTCGATGTCGTATTCTGTACGATCAGGTCTTTGGAAGTGGTAAAAAATGTATTATACAATTATACATTGGTTTTGGACATAATTTTTGTTTTTACATTCTGAAAAGAAAGAAGAAAACTTCAATCATAAAAAGCAGTCTGACGAGGGAAGGCCACCAACTGCCTCCTCTCTCTTGGGCTTAAACTCAGTTGCCAATAGATAATCGAACGTGCTGATTCCGAACATCACAATAGTTTTTGTCCGCTTTCGATTTTAAGACCCGGTTTCTAAAGATCTTGGTTTTTCAATCGAAAAACCATTTTCACTAAAAAATTTCCTTGACCTGTCCAAACGAAAGAGCACGTCGTCAAACCTACAGAAAGCAATTTTTCAAGGTTCTAAGCGAGATTTTGAGCGAGTCTTCTGCGTCTAAAACTTAAAAAAAGAGGGAAAAACCGCTAATATTCTTACACAATTTATTCTTTCTGTTCTGTTTTTTCACACATGTTATTAGCAATTTGTGATAAAGGTAGCAATAAAGCAGTTTCACAGAGCCATGATTCGTAAAAATATTTGTTATTTAAAGAAAAAATGATCCATCGTATATGTAGACGGCGATTTTCTACGAATAAAGAGACATTTTAAATATATACGATGGATCATTTTTTCTTTAAATAACAAATATTTTTACGAATCATGGCTCTGTGAAACTGCTTTATTGCTACCTTTATCACAAATTGCTGCAAAAACTATTGTGATGTTCGGAATCAGCACGTTCGATTATCTATTGTCAACTGAGTTTAAGCTCAAAAGCGAGGAGGCAGTTGGTGGCCTTCCCTCGTGAGAAGAGAAAGTACATACCTGAATTTAGCTTTGAGTTGTTGGATAGAATTTTCAGTTCGGACAATGTCTATATGACCAGGTAGAACTGCATGACGATAAATGTCCAAAGCTTTATTTAAATTAAACAAGGCTTGCTCATAGTCATGCTTGAGTTGATAAGCCATACCCATATACTCGTAAATGTGGGCAGCTGCTTTGTGGTAACTAGGCAATGCTTTTATTTGTATTTGTAATGCTTTCTCCAAATTTTGCAAGGCCGAATCGTATTCACCCATATGAAGATGAACCTCACCGATATTCAAATATGATATTATTAAATCAGGGTGATTCGGTGGAAGATGTTGCTCATTTATCTTCAAAGATTTATTATAAGTGTCCAAAGCTAAATCGTATTTCTCCTCTTTGTCGTAGACAATACCCATGTTATTGTAGCAATAGGCAGCACGTCGATCATTTTTTTTGTTGTAAATCTTCAACGCAAGTTCATAATTCTGCAGAGAAAGTTGATTTTCTCCTTTTTCTCGGTATAGTTCCCCAATAGAATTGTAACAAGTAGCCAAATCAGTGTGATCAGACGGAAGGATTTTAAGATAAATGTCAAGTGCCCTATTGTAGTAGTGGTGAGCCGAATCGAAATCACCTTGATCACTTGCAGCATTTCCAAGATTATCATAACATATTGGAATATTTGGATCATTTTCGGGTAATTCAGATAATAATCGGTTGTAATAGTTTATACTTTGATCATATTTACCCTGTTTCCATAACAATCTGCCGAGTGAAATTAAGGATGTTTCTTTATTTCCACACGCTTCCTGTTTCATGTGTTGATAGAGTTCCTCATACTCATTATCAGCGTCGCTGCAAAATGTTAGTGCAATAATCGACACTTGATATTCATTGTCGAAGTGAATCTGTTGAATACGAAACACGGAGCCAATCGAAAAAAGAATTTCCTCTTCTTCATCGTAAAAACTCAACGATTGTATGTTGGCGAATGGCTTCCTTGATTTAATACGAGTGTCAACACTGATTTCAAACAGAACTCGCTGAAGATCATCAGAAGATGAGGCGCTGGAGACAAATCCAAGTGACACGGACCGGTTTCTACTGGTAGACAAAAACGAATTCATCGATATAAATTCGCCGATACTTTCTTTTATCCGTTCCAGTTCCTCCGTTTTCATTTTCTGACCTCGATAGAGTTTGAGAATAGGATCAGTATTAGTTGACTGTTGCAACTGTTTCAATTGTTCGTGAATGTCTTTGATCACGAAGCCAAATGCAAAGAGCAAGTCAACGTTCTGTGTTCTCAATGCTTGATTCAATACTCGATAGAGAAAACTATCGAGCGTATACCAGAACAACGCTTGATCAGATGAGTACGTTTGATCAAATTCACGGAGACTGTAGGGTTCTTTATCATATCCTTTATGCTGCTGGTTGCACAGGTCGATTAATTCTTGTTTTGACTTTGGTGAGTATTTCATTTGCAGAAGAATGTCGATGAGTAATTGAAAATAGAGGAAAGAGGAGTTAAGCCCTGAGGAGGATTCTTCCTTATTTTCAGCTCGATTAAACACACTCAATGGACAAGTTAAATCCTCTTCCTCCTTGACCCGTTTTGCCTGGCCTTTTTGAATTACTGACACAAGTTCTTCGAGTTGGACAGTAACAGCCTTGATCTAAACACAGAATAATGATCAAATCACCAAACAACTGCTATATGTGTCTGTATTACCTTTGGATGCTGTTTAGCCCACTCATTGTTTAATTTTTTATCGAAACAGTGGACATAGATGGAAAACAACTGTGGTAGATGTTCAATCCGGGGAACTAATTCTCTGACAAATCTCTCCGAGACGATAAGTACAATTTTCTGATCATCTTCAATCGCTCGAATATGCTCTTCACATTCTTCTTTGTCTTCAAATGTTTTCAACTGATTGATAACTTCACGTAATTTGTGTTGTGCCTTTATATTCTCCTCCGTTCCATTGACCGATGCATCCAGCCATAGCAGTATGAAACCTTCCAAATTTGAGGATAACTGTGACTGTTCTTGACCAGGAGATGAAGTCATTGCCATTGACTTTTTTTCGTCAAGAAGTAAAAGACGAATTGATTTTATATTATGCTATGTGAATGTTAATGTACTTTACCTTTGACTTTTGTTGTAAAACTGGACTGGATGTTTTCACAGCATGTTCCTAAAGATACCTGGAAATAAAATGGATATACAAACTATTTGGGTTTTTCCACTTCTATCCTGGTGATTGACTAGTTTGCTTATATATATTGTTTCTCCTAACGATGGCAGCTACTAATCCAATTTATTTGTCTTTTAAAACAAATCTGGTTGGAAGAATAAGAATCAACTTGTGTTCTGTTTGTTGTTGTTGTTTTTTGACTTGTTACGAATACGAAGTAATAGATGCATCACCAGAAGTAGAATGATGTATATATTTTTGTTACAGTTGGCTGATTTTCATCAATTACTTATCTGCCGATAACTATATTCACAATGTGGTATTACCACTCCTTTCTTTTCTTTTCTTATTCTATGATTCACTTAAACATGTTTAATATTTTTATTCACACAGAACATTTGCTGATTATCGTACAATATTTTATTCTTCTCCTGCATTTATTGAAGGTGTACGACTGACATTAAGTTTCATCACGTCATTAGAGTTAGCTAATTTGTATGATTTAGAATCCATTGGTTATACAGCTATATCATGTGGTATCTTTGGTATATCGGTAGTGGCAACCAAAGGCTTCAACGAATGACCAAAGGCTTCAATGACTGGTCGAGGCAAAGTCATTCGTTGAAGCCTTTGGTTGCCACTACCGAAGGCCGATTGTCGAGTTGCTCGAAGAGAGGAAGTTCCTGCTCGAGCTTTTTTACGACGTTACTCGAGCAACGACGGGCTGCATCTGACTGACGTGCGCCCGGTCTCTTTTTCCAGTTGCGGAAACTTCTAAGAGGTAGTACTGCTCCCCTTGTACTTCGATCACCTTGCAGGGACCCACTCGTCTCTCGTCGAGCGTTGAGCGACCGACACAGACCTTCACATAGACGAGGTCGCCCACCTTGTATGACGGATCCTTGCGGTTGAGATCGTAGCGCGTCTTCGCCAAGGACTGCTGATGTTGTATATTGAAGCAGGCTTGTCGAGTGAGTATCCGTCGGGCTTGTGCCACTCGCTTGTGGAAGTCGTCGACTTGGAGCAGCTTGACAGTGGGAGCCACCCTCTCAAATGAGCCCTTCTGTTTGCGTCCAAATGCCAACTCGTAGGGTGGAAAGCCAGTAGAGGAATGAACACCTGTGTTGTAAGCATAATCTGTCCGGGAAGCCCAGGAATAGCGGTGCCGAAGTTAAGATTTCTTTGAAGCGGTCGAAGGCTTGTGGTTATTCCGGGTGCCAATAGAAGAGATGCCTTGCGTGCTTGGTTTTGTTGGTGACTCTGTGAAGGGGGCCGGTGATTTTAGCGTAGTCACGGATAAATTTGCGGTAGTAGTTGGCTTTGCTAAGGAAGCGATTCACTTGAGAGAGTGTTCGAGGAGGTGCCATTTCGACGATGGCTTGAATTTTGTCGGGGGATGGTTGCACCTTGTCGCCCGTGACGATGTGGCTGAGAAACTCGATTTTCTCCGCGGCGATCGTACACTTCGATGGGGACGCTTGGAAGTGGGCCCGATTGAGAATGGAGGGGACCTCGTCCACATGAAGCTTGCTCTTCGAGCGTCTTGGAGAAGATGATGATGTCATCGAGATACACGATGACGTAGCCCCACCGCCTGATCGCCAGGAGCTCGTTCATTGCCCGTTGGAAGGTAGGAGGGGCGTTCATGAGGCCTTGAGCTAGACCATTAAATTCGTAAAGGCCATCGTGCGTGTAGCCGGCAGTGTCGAGTGTTCGCTATAGCGCGGTTGGCGAAGAGCCAATCGGAGACAAGGATGAGGTCGGCGAGAAGGTGATCGACGACGAGGGCCGAAACAGTTGTTGAAATGTGGTTAACTTTAACCTTTACATAAACTTGGCCGATAACCTTCATCTTGCTATGACCGTCGCTGAGGGTGGCCGTTGTTGTTCTTGGGAGGATGGGGCCATGGTGGATGTTGTTGAGGAGGGAGAGGGGAATGAGTGAGCCGGTTGAACCCGTGTCGATCATGGCTTGGATGGGGCAGTTGTTGAGTTTGAGGGCAACCATGATGATGGCTGGCAAATATCACATCACCCAAGTTGGAGATCTATGTATACTGTTAACAAAACGGCGCATAATCGAGGATATACAATATGTCAACAAAATGTATGGCAATCGTAAAACCAAGTCCTTGGTTTTTTGTCAGAAAGCTTTTCAAGCCACATAGCCTGAGAGAGCATACAATTCTGAGTAAAACAAGATATGTTCTGGCTGTTTATAATGATTTTTAACTGGAATCTTTTGCTAATTTTCATGCTCTTCGTAGCCCTTTCTAAATCGAGTGTACTTGCGTGAAAAATCATTATACACAGCCGGGATATGTCTTGTTTTACTCAGAATTGTATGCTCTATCAGGCTATGTGGCTTGAAAAGTTTTCTGACAAAAAAACAAGCACTTGGTTTCCAGTGGACAGGTTTTCCAGAAACCCTATTATCAACACTTTTCTCATTAAACGACAATATGTACCACATCTGATAGAAAAATGTTCGGCCTATTCAAAACAGTATTTAGATTGGTTTCAGCTGTTTCCAAAAAATCAAAAAGAAAGGAGTTCTTGTGACAATGACACAGTACTACATAGATAATACCCCAACTCTTCTTTTCCATATCTTTAATGACTGGACCCACCTTTTTGGATGTTCTGATCAGCTCACTTTGTAGAGATTTTCAAGGACTATCCAATGGTATGTTTTCGCAAAAT